GCAATCAATCAGTGAATGGGCTGCAGTCAGTCAGTGAATGGGCTGCAATCAATCAGTGAATGGGCTGCAGTCAGTCAGTGAATGGGCTGCAATCAGTCAGTGAATGGGCTGCAGGGGCTGGGCAGAGTCCCAAGGCAGGATAGGCCATGGGGGGTGGGGGGGGTGCAGACTGAATCCCTCCCTGCGGGCTCCGCGTGCTGGAAGTTCAATGTGGGACTTAGAACTAGTGTCTGTCTCCCTTGCTCGTTCTCACTCCTGCTGGCCACCTGCATGGACTGCTGCCTGCTGAGTGCTTCTCGCCTTGGATTCCTTCGGATCTCCCTCCTAGACGGGATCTCTCATTCTCCCACTGGGAACATGCGGGTCCAGCCTCTGTAGTGGCGCTTCGAGCCTGTTTCCCTTGCTGGATTCTGTTGGGAGTAACCAGATTTACTGACAAGGACTGAATTAGGGTGGTAAAGAACTGAGCCTGGCATCCAAGCTTGATAAAGTGGTAATAAACTGCCCTTGCATCTGGGATGGGACTAGAAGGTGATAACAAACTGGGCCTTACATCAAAGGACACAGTGATGAGTCACCCCTTTGGAATCTGAGCTTAGAATCTAGAGAAGAGACCCCCACCCCCATAGGGCTGGCAGTAGCTGCCGACCCCACTCTAGGGGCTCCGTCTCAGCTGCTGGTCTCAGCTGCTGTCGGAAGCAATAAACTCTGCTTGCTCAGCCTTTCTGCCTCCCACCTTCCTTCCTTGCGGCCGGTCACAGAAGTTGGGACAGGACAGATTCTAGTGTCTGGGCACCTTTGGTTCCCCGGTGTCTGGCAAGGATCTGTTATAGAGCTCACTGAGTGAATGATGCTTATAGGTGTAGTGAAGTAATTAACGGATGGATGGGTGGGTGGGTGGATGGATGGGTGGAATCCAGACATTCTCAGAAGATGAAGGAGGGGGCCCTCCCTCCCTCATGGCACAATAAATTAAAGCGCAGCACTATGAAGTTGTCTGAAGCCACTGCAGCATGAGTTTGATTCCCGGCCAGGGAGTGACCCACATGGTGCGGCAGACCTCTCCTGATCCGCCTACTGCTCCCCTCAGCAGTGGATTTCAGTCACTCTGCCAGTTCTGCTCCCCACTCTGTCTCTGGTGAACCCTCACCTACTGTACCTCTGGCCTGTACCCCAGTTCTTATAAGCATAAAAATAAATAAATCTTGAAAAAAAGAAAGAAGGAAGCCACTTTGCCTTTCTTTCCTCACTGTGCTCTACAGCAATCCTCCTTCCCAAGAGTCCCACTTCCTCCCATAAGCTGGGGCCCTTTCAGGACAGAGACAGAATTCTTCAGGTTTCCCTATTTCCTTTAGCTCTAGGGCTTTGCATTTCAGAGGGTCACCAGCAACAGGAAATTCACGTTTCCACTGGGCTTAGCTGTTTCCAGGGCTGGGCACGTGAACCGAAAGCAGGAGCTCGGCCTCTGAGGTAAATGCCATTCCTGCCAGGCTCAGAGACACTGAGTTGATTACCCAAGGGCACACAGCCCTGCGGATGGGGTGTGAACTCAAATCCTGCTGGAGCAGCCAGAGCGGGATGACCTCAGGGAGCAGTGGAGGTGGAGATCAGCCTGAGGCCCAGTCTGCAAGAAGCTGGAGGGGCCTTGTCCCTGCTGGGCCTCAGCACCCTCGGGCACTGAGGGTGCCCTTGGAGGGCCTTTCTGGGTGAAGGACCTCGAGGTGCTGGTGAACAGCCCAGGCGTGCCCTGCAGGGCTCTCCTCACGCTCCCTGAGAGCCAAAGGGCAGGGAACCGGGGGTAATGGTTAACTAGACTGACAGCTACCTGTAAGGCGCCTCCTCAACCGCCCAGACTCTGCAGGATGCAGTGGGTGAAGGTGCTTGGGGGCATCTTGGGGGCCGCTGCCCTCTTGGGGCTGGGGATTATCGTGGGCCACTTCGCCATCCCCAAAGTCTCAGACTCCCAGGACCTGGACCAAAGACTCCTTGAGTCCGTCTTGGAACAGCTGGATGCGAGTAAGATCCGGGAGAACCTGAGGTGAGAGGCCCGTCTGCCCGCCCCACGCTCTGCCAGGGGCTCCCACCTGACCCCGACCTGCCCTCCCTTGCCCACCCCAGAGAGCTCTCCAGGAAGCCACACCTGGCCACTAGCCCCCGCGACGAGGAGCTGGTGCAGCTGCTGCTGCAGCGCTGGCGGGACCCACAGTCGGGTCTCGACTCGGCCCAGGCCTCCCAGTACGAGGTGCTGCTGTCCTTCCCCAGTCAGGAGCAGCCAAACCGCGTGGATGTGGGTGAGGCCCCGCGGGCCTGGGGGCCCTGAGGTGGGGGAGCCGCCAGGGCCAGCATGACAGTGCTCCCCCCCACAGTGGGTGGCACTGGCACTGGGAATGTGCAGTTCTCCTGCCGCCGGAGTGAGGAGGATCTGACTGGGGAGCAGGGGGACCCTGAGGTGGTGCCACCCTATGCTGCATATGCCCCCGCGGGAACCTGCCAGGTGGGTCCAGAACATCCCGTCCCCACTGCCCAGATCCCTTGGGTCCCTACCTAGCCCAGCTCCTCCTGCCTCCCCCCAGGGTAGCTAAGAATTAGTCCCTCAGCTGAGCGCTGCACTCCCTAGAACTCAGTCATCTTCATAGCTACTTACTGCCCATCACTTAGTCACTCCATAGACACGAATGGTCCCCGTTTGAGTTCAGGCCTGATAAAGGGTGCCCGACGCAGAGGACAGCAGTCCTGACTCTGTCCTCGGGGAGCTGGCGAGCTCTGGGGGGGAGGGGGGGAGGGCAGGACCAAAACCCCTCATCCGGCCACCCTGCCTTCCCTCCTCCCTGGTCACCTTTTCCCGGGCCTGACTCTAAGGATCTCTTCTCGGGTCTAGGGTCTCCTTGTTTATGCCAACCGGGGAACAGAAGCAGACTTTCAGGAGCTGCAGTCTCGAGGCATCACACTCCAGAACACCATTGCCCTGACCCGCTATGGGGGTGCAGGGCGTGGGGCTAAGGTGAGCCGCAGCTCCCAGGCAGCTCCCAGGGCAGGGCCGGGCGGGGAGAGGCAAGCTGTATCTCTGCAGTACCCGGGATGGCTGTGTGACCTTGGACGCTCCCTCTCGCCTCTGATCCTTAGGAAATAGAGTCAGAACAAAATTTTCAGCTTTGATCCTCTGGAAGTCTAAGCCCTAAGTTCTTTCTGGCTATTCAACTGAAATTCCTACTGTCTTCTCTCCCCTGCCCCACCTTTTTCTTTTCAGCTTGAGGAGTTGACTTATTATTTCGTGTCTATGGTTAAAAAATATTTTTTAATATAAAAGGTATCGTGCAAGAGAGGAGTAGGGAGTTAGTGTCAAACAGGTACTGGATTTCAGATTTACACAGGGAAGAGAGTTCTGGAAAAGGTTGGTGGTGACGGCCCCTTAATCCCACTGATCTGTACACTTTAAAATGGTTAAGATGATGCATTTCATGTCACGTGTGTTTTACCACAACTTTTAAAGACGTAGTAAGAACTGCAGAAAGGAAGAAAATAAGAAAAAGAAAAAAGAAAGGCAGCCAGGCAGGGTGGAGGCTGGAAAGCCTGTCCCATTACCGTCCCTCTCCGTCTCCCCTCCCCTCCCCTCCACCTGCTTTCCATCTCTATGAGTCTGCCTATTTCAGGTACCACATCGAAGTGGTGGAAGATATCTGTCCTGTGGCATCTGGCTTATTTTATTTAGCACGATGTTCCCCAGGTTCAGGGAATTGTATCAGAACTTCATTCCTTTACGAGGCTGAAAAATACTCTTTTGCGTGTGACCTACTACGTGCTGTTTATCACCTGTTGGTGGGCACCTCAGATGGTCCCACTGTTTGGTTACTGTGAATGGTGGTGCTGCTGCGAACACAGGGGTGCAGGCTAGACCTGCCACCTGATTCCTTCACGAGACCGGCCCCGTGTTGAGGCAGGCCTCGATGCATAGGGGCAGCCGCCCAGGGCGCTGGCTGGCGGTCTTCTGGGGTCTCAAGCAGCACCCCAGCCACAGCTGCCCGGGGTGGGGCGGGTGTCCCCTTGCTAGTGGGAAGATACCTCTGTCGGGCCTTCCACCAAGAGGGAGACAGTGGACAGGAGGGTGCCGCCCCACCCTCCCCTCCCCCTAAACGCAGTCTTCTCTTCCCCAGGCTGTGAATGCTGCCAAGTTCGGGGTGGCTGGGGTGCTGGTGTACACGGACCCTGCAGACATCAACGATGGGCACAGCTTGCCCAGCGAGACCTTCCCACACTCCTGGCGCTTACCTCCCTCTGGGGTGGAGCGAGGTTCCTACTATGAGTACTTTGGGGACCCCCTGACTCCCTATCTTCCAGCCAAACCCTCCTCCTTCCGACTGGACTCAGCCACTGTCCCTGGATTTCCTCCAATTCCCACTCAGCCCATTGGCTTTGAGGATGCAAAAGTCCTTCTCTGGTGAGTGGGTGCTGGAGTCTCCTGGCCACAGTGGCAGCCAAACTTCCACTCCCATCCCTGTATTTTCACTGAAGGTCCTCCCCTTCCTTCCCAGTCAACTCAAGGGACCCTTGGCACCCCCGGCCTGGCAGGGAGCACTGGGCTGTAACTACAACTTGGGGCCTGGCTTTCAGCCAGGGGGTAACTTCACAGAGGACAGGTGAGAGGGGCCCCCCGACTGAACTGCCCCGTCCACTCTTCCCCAGCTCCTCCCCTGACTCTGGAATGTCTGTCTTGTTTTTGGGGGTGTCAGGGAAGCAGCCATTGTGGCCCATGGGGTCCTCTCCTCCTCACCTCTGCTCTCCTCGGACCCCCTCCCTTGTTCCCAGATCAGGGCCTGGGCACTTGCTGTTCCCTGTGCCGGGAACACGCTTCAGGCCTCCTGCCACTCCCGCCCCGCACTAACCTGCTGCCAGGTGTCCTCTCCCGCGTCACCCCTTAGTGGCCTCGAGTCCTGTCACTTCCCCACAGTTCTTCACTTCCTCCTGCTCTGTCTGGCTGGAGCTCCCACCAGCACTGCGCCTCAGTTTCCGCGGCCTTAGAGGGGCGGGACGGGGCGGGACGGGGCGGGGCGGGGCTGAGCCATTGTGGAAACCCACCCCTGCCCCAGCCAGGTGAAGGTGAGCGTCCACAACCGCCGGGAGCTGCGGAACTCCTCCAACGTCCTGGGGATCATCCGCGGGGCTGTGGAGCCAGGTGAGCATCCCAGGCTCCGCCCTGCTCTGGGAGTCCCGCCCCTCGGGGTCCGGCCGGCCTGGATGACCCCGCCCACTCTGGCTTTGGCTCCTCCCCCAGACCGCTACGTGCTGTACGGAAACCACCGGGACAGCTGGGTGCACGGCGCCGTGGACCCCAGCAGTGGCACTGCCGTCCTCCTGGAGTTGTCCCGCGTGCTGGGGACCCTGCTGAAGCGGGGTGAGGCGGTCTTCTCCCCTGGCCCGGGGACTGTCCCCCAGGGGCCTCCTCCAGCCTGCACCTTCCTTCCTGAGCAGCTGGGCATCTTGTGCCACCCCCTCCCTTCCACTGTTCAGTGCTCACTTGTGCCAAACTGAGCGCCCTGGGGGTGGATGTCAGTGGGCACCATCGTCTGTCGCCCGGGATGGGGCACTGACTCACTGGAGCCCTAGCGCCAGGAGCAGCCTGTGGCTCTGGTTGGAGGAAGGCCTGGAGAGGCTGAGCTTCTGGGCCCCCCTCCCACCTAGCTCTCCCTCCCCCAGATCCCAAGTGAACACCCCAGCCCCCCTCCCCCAACCAGCAGGGGTGAGCTGGCAGCAGTTGGGCAAGGTTGTGAGCCCTAAGGGTGGAAGGGCAGGGCCTGGCAGCCCAGCGTGTGGTTTGGAGCTCAGCTAAGGGCAGCAGGGATCAGGTGAGGGGTTTTAACCAGGATGATGAAATATTGGCTCCCAAGTTTTAAACCTCTGGTACAGTGGGCAAGGTGTGGGGGGAGGGGCAGCCCTTGCTGAAGGGACCAGACAGAGACCTTGTGGACCTCAGAGCCTGGAATGGGAGGGGGCTTGTGCCACTCAAGGGGCAGTAGGAAGGAGGTGGTGGAAAGACCTAGGGGGTCTGTTGGTGACAGAGAAGACAGGGTGTATGGAGGGTCCCAGATCCCTGACTTCTATTCTGAACCACTTAGTGCCCGCAGCGCCATTTGGGAGGCACAAAACAGGGTCAGAGGGCAGATCTAGGCGGGGAATGTGCAGGGGTTCTTCACACAGTGATTTGTGTGTGTGCTAAAATAGACATGCCGTGCAATTTGCCTTCTTAGCCAGTTGTGGGAGTGCAGTGTTAAGTACAGTCTCAGGGTTCCAGGCCACCATCATCCACCTCCAAGTTTCTGCCTCCCCTTCCTTACCACATTGTGACCCTGTAGGTGTCTCACTTGAATGTTTGAGATCAGCCCCAGCTGGAGGTCACAGCAGCTACTCCTGTGGGGCTCTCGCCTTCCCTTTATGCTACTGATGTCAGGGAATGAGCCAGACCCTACTCGGGTACTGGGAGACCCTGCAGGAGAAGGCATCTGCCAGGTGAAGGTGCTGGTCTCCAGGTCAGAAAAGGGAGTCTCGAGATCAAGCGGGGAGTTGGTGGCAGAAATGGCATGTGGAGGGCGCCCCCTGGTGGTGCAGCAGGTTAAAGTACAGCACATGGCGTTATCCACAGCCACTGCAGCATGAGTTCAATTCCCAGCCAGGGAGCTGACCCACAGAGCACAGCAGACCCCTCCTGTCTCCCCGCTGCTCCTCTCAGCAGTGTATTTCAGTAGATCCACCTGTTCTGCTCCCCACTCTGTCTCTGGTGAATCCTCTCACTCCTGCACCTCTGGCCTGTACACCAGTTCCTGTATGCAGAAGTAAATACATCTTAAAAAAAAAAAAACACTATTAACAAGCTTAAAAAAAACAAAAAAGTATGGTACATGTGGAACCGCAGGTGTGGCTGAGATGACTGCGGGGGGGTGGGGTGGCGGGGAGGAGCGAGAGCCTGGCCATGCCGGTGGTTGTTCCAGGGTTTTATTTTGAAATATTTTCAGACTCACAAAAGAGTGGCAAGTCCAGAGAAGCGGGTCTGTCTGCTGTCATCCCTTTGTGCCTCCTGCAGCCTTTCCTCAAGTATTTCAAGTCTCAACTCCTGAGCTGCAGGAGCGCTGCACCTTTGCTCATGAACACGACTGCAGTCTTCCCTGGAATTAAAACCTTTTTCCTCATAACTATAGGACGATGTAGGATAATGCATGGGAATTTGTGGGGCTTTAAGAATTTTAAATTTTTTTTGTATAGAACTGGGGTACAGTCCAGAGGTGCCTAGATGAAAGGATTTCCCAGAGACAGAGCGGGTAGCAGAAAAGGCAGATCTACTGAAATCCACTGCTGAGGGGAGCGGTCTGCTGTACCATGTGGATCATCTCCCTGGATGGGATCGAACTCAAGTCATAGTGGTGACAGTGCTGAGACTTAACCCCCAGGTCACCAGCTTCTGCATGGGAATTTGTAATTATAAGCATGTAATGGTTTATGCTTTAAAAATATTGTTTTACAACCAAAAGAAGCAGCTTAATCAGAGGGGACTACGTGGCAAAAGCAGAGAAAAACCAGGAGTGTGTGGTGCAGGGGAGGGGAAGTCTGGAGAAAGCAGGGGACAAGCAAGCCCCCCAAGGCTTTCTGGAGGTGGCTCGGCACCTGGCAAGTGCAGTGGCGTTGATAACCCCCTGGATCTGAAGTCTGGCTCTGCTACCTATTAGAGGGGTGACCTCGGGCAAGTCTTTCGACCTCACTGTGGCAACCAAGGTGTTGTGCTAAGGAGTGGCTAAATATGGACAAAGCCGGAGGAGACGGTTCATATGAAGAAGGCGAGCGGACAGAGGTTGTGGGAAGTTTTGCCTAGGATGAGTGGCTGAGCGAGTTGGAGGTCTTCTTAAAACACAGCCATGGAGAAGAGGGGAGGCAGGGCTCCCACCTGGCAGGAGGTTGGGGCTGGGGGTGTCACCTCAGAGGAGGCAGGCAGGGAAAAGGAGGACTGAGTCTCCAGGTAAACTTGGCTGAAGAGCTGCTGGCACCAGAACCTACCTTGCAACCCTCCCCTTCTCCCTTGCCCCACCCTTTCCCCTTAAGCCACCCCAGGATCCTGGGATCCTGCCCTTAGCCTTTTATTCCCCTCCATAGGCAATTGGCGTCCCCGTAGATCGATCGTGTTTGCGAGCTGGGGGGCCGAGGAATTTGGGCTCATTGGTTCCACAGAATTCACGGAGGTGAGTGGGCCCCGCGGGGTGGGGGTCCGGGGTTGCTGGCGGCCGGCTGACACTCTTCCCCCGCAGGAGTTCTTCAGCAAGTTGCAGGAGCGCACGGTGGCCTACATCAACGTGGACATCTCGGTCTTCGGTAAGCGGGGGGATGGCTGCCTGGGGGAGGAATGTGGGGTAGGGCGGGGGGGCTCGAATGGAGTCTTTCCCTGATCCTCCCTCAGCCAACGCCACCCTGAGGGCGCAGGGGACGCCCCCAGTCCAGAGCGTGGTCTTCTCTGCGGCTAAACAGGTGGGGAGGGCGGGGCCGGGCGGCGAGTGGGCGGGGCCGGGCGGCGGCGGGTGGGCGGGGCCTAACGTGCGGGGCTTGAACTGATCCCAGAGCGAGTCCGTGGAACCCACTAGAGATGGCGGGCGGGACTGTCCCCAGGCTGCAGTCTCGGGTGGGCAGCTGTAAGACCCACCTGGTTGTTGGGCCATCGGAAGAGCCACCCCGAAATTGGATTACTCTCCCCACTAGATCCCCGCCCCAGGTGCCGGTCACCTCAGCATCTACGACAACTGGATCCGGCATTTCAACCGCAGCAGCTCCGTGTACGGCTTGGTCCCCAGGTGAGCCCAAGGCCCGGGCTGGGGTCGGGAATCCGGGGCTGGCAGACTGGTCCAGAGCCCTTCAGCGGGGGCCTCCTCCTTCCCGCAGCCTGGGCTCTCTGGGTGCTGGCAGCGACTACGCGCCCTTTGTTCACTTCCTGGGCATCTCCTCCATGGACATCGCCTACACCTATGACCGGGTGAGCTGGCACCCCTCTGTCCCCCGCCTCAGCATTTTGCTCCACCAGCCCCTCTCCCTCGGGCTGCTCTGGAGCAGACTGAATCCCTAACTGTGCTACCTCCACCAAGTTTCTCAACCTCTCTGAGCATCGGTTGATGCTCATCTACATGATTTTAAAAAATGTAAGATACTAGTGATTGTAAAATGCACTACTGTGATGTACACTATTGGAGGGAGAGACCTGCCACCAATTCATTGTAGCATGATGTTCTCTGAGAAACATCCTGATCCCGGAATTCTTGAAATGTGCAAACATATTAATTTCAAAGTTGATAACAGTATGAAACTGGCATGATTCAGAGCACTGGTGTGAGGGTGGTACAGAGCCCCCAGCTGGGTCTCCCTGGCCAATGCTCAACCTCCTCACCATGCCACCCCTGGGCACTGCATTTGGCATTTGCTTCCTGTGTCTGACTCCAAAGGCCCAGGTTCTTCCCCATGTTAGATGGAAAACTGGCACCTGCCTGGGCACTGCTGGGGGATGTCAGGCAGGGTACGTCACCTCTGTGTAAAGTGGGAATTTTAGCGCCAAATTCACAGATGTGGCCATGATTGGCTTGAGGTAACACCCCGACACTATAGCTCCCTGTTGATATACCCCTCCCGCTTCGCACCCCAAGCCTGTCACCTCCGGGCTTCTTTGTTCCCACAGAGTAAAACCTCTGCCCGGATCTACCCCACCTACCATACAGCCTTTGACACCTTTGATTACGTGGACAAATTTCTGGATCCTGGTGAGGAGGGGCCCAAGGGCATCCAGAGGCCGGGGGTGGAGGGGCCCAAGACTGAGCTTTGCCTCTGCCCTCCCTGCTGTCCCCAACCAGGCTTCAGTAGCCACCAGGCAGTGGCCCGGACTGCAGGAAGTGTGCTTCTTCGGCTCAGTGACAGCCTTTTCCTGCCTCTCAACATTAGTGACTACTGCGAGACCCTCCACAGCTTCCTGCAAGCTGCGCAGCAGGAGCTCGGGGCCCTGCTGGAGCAGCACAACATCAGCCTCGGTATGGAGCCTGCCTGCCGCTGGGCACCAGAAGCCCTCCTTGGAAGCATGGAAGCTCTCCATTCCCAGGGCTAAGCTGCTGGCTGTTCCCCACAGAGCCCCTGGTGACTGCGACAAAGATGTTTGAGGAGTCGGCTAAGGCCTTGGATCAACACAGAGCAGCACTGCAGATGGGCCAACCTGAGTGAGCAAGGGCGGGGAGGCGTGTCTGGGAGGGCAGCCTCCCCCACAGGCCCAGGATGCAGACTGGCAGCTGGGCTGGCACCAGGGTGACCAGCTGGCCCTGTCACCTCTAGCCCCCTGCAGGTTCGGATGCTCAATGACCAGCTGATGCTTTTGGAACGAGCTTTCCTGAACTCAAGAGCCTTTCCGGAGGAGCGCTACTACAGGTGAGCCTGGCCCAAAGCTCTTGAAGGTGCCACGGGGTGAAGCTGGGCAGTGGCCACATGAGAATGTCAGTTTCCTTGGCGTTCGGGGCATAACCTAGCCTTTCGGGAGTGTAAGACCCAAGCAGGGGAGGCGAGTCGGTCAAGGTCACCTTGGAACCAAAACCTACCTCTCCCACTTCCTCTGTAAGAACCCCTTTCAGAGGCACTGGGAGGTGCTTTTGTGCGTGGTGAGAAACAGGAGCTGAGCCTGTTCCCTTTCTCCTGCCAGCCATGTACTCTGGGCACCCCGCAGCGGCTCCACAGCCACGTTCCCAGGCCTGGCCAATGCCTGTGCCAAGGCCAATGCCACAGACTCCAGGTCTGCAGAGTGGGCTGAGGTGCGGCGGCAGCTCAGCATTGTGGTGGCGGCCCTGGAGGGTGCAGCAGCCACCCTGAAGCCTGTGGCTGACCTCTGACCCCAGCCCTCATTCTTCAGCTCTTTATCCTAATCCCCTGTTGTCTCCCCTGCGGTATGACCACAGGCCCCGCAGGCTTCCGAGGCAACAGTAAGTAAGGGTCCAGCGGTTGTGGACACTCAAGGGTATGGCAAGCCAGGATAAAACCTCTGAGGATGGAGACTGGGAGACAGGTGGGATTGGGGAGGAACAGCAAAACCACCCACTGTGCTTGGTATGGGCTGCCTAATGCCAGTCTTCGATGCCACTCAGAGACCAAGACCAGCCCTCAGGGACCTGAGAGAAACTGAGGCCCAGGGTGGGCAGGGCTCAGACTGCAACCCTCTCCTCCTATGTCCTTGTCTTAGTTCCTCCCTCCTTGCCATCCTCCAATAAAGCAAATCTAGCTGTTCCAACAAAACAAGTTTCTTTTATTATCTGGGAATCAGTCCTGGGACTCTGCAAGGTCACACAGCCCCTCCTGGTGCTGGGGACTTGGGTTTGCCCACACCCACATCTTCTTCCTCTGCCATAACGACCTCCTCCAGCGTGCGTCCGCCAAGCTTGCTCCCCACCAACAGTTTGCAGGCCCCGGGAGGCAGCAGCAGCTTCTCAGTATAGCGACCCCTCAGGAACACCACTCTCTCCTCTCCATCCAAGGGCAGCCCGTGGGCCTGGCACAGGTCCCGGGCCTCCTCCAGCCCATCCAGGGCCAGCAGGTGCACCACAAAGTCCAGAGGCAAGGCCTGGCCCTTGGGAGTGCTCAGGGCACGAGCCAGGCGGGCCAGGGCTCCTCGGCGGGCACGGCCCACGTGGCACTGCACAGCACAGCTCTGCAGGTAGGGCAGTGCCCGGAGCAGACGGAACAGGCGCGCGGCATTGCCTTCCCGGAAGGCGGCGTCCACGGCCAGCGCCGTGCGCAGGGCTGAGCAGGAGCGCAGGGCAGCAGGCAGCCGCAGGACTTCATGAAGGGCTTCCACAGAACCTTCGAGGTGGGAAGCAGGGGTGAGCGTGTAGGTCCTTCCACGGGGGGGGGGCCTGCCACCACCAACGCCAATGTCTCCCTTCCCCTGCCCTCTAGGCCTGGGCCAAGACCCTCCCCTCACACATCTCCAGGACGGCCCAGCTCCGGCCTTGCCTGGCTGAGCTGGCAGCTCCTCCGCTTCCCCCCAGCAGGACCTTCCGAACAGTATTAAGCGAGGAGGCAGTCAGGTCCCAGATGTAGCCTGGGCCTGGTCCACCTGAATCCAGACCTCTCTCCCTGGCCCACAGACTGTCAGCTAGGCCACACCCTCCCCTCTTCCCTGTCCAACTGGGAAGGCCGTTTCTTCCAGAAGGGGGCACTGCAACCTCAGGCCCTTTTGTAAACTAAGGCTTCGACTCACCAAGCGTTGTGAAGTCAAGCGCATTTGTTTCCAATTAAGTGGATCAGAATTTATTAGAAGGCACCATCCCACCAAGAAAACGTCCCTCAAATTCGTGGGCCAATGTGTCGGCTGCTTTGCTTCACTGCTTAAGCAGAGGCTTAAGTAGTTTTAACTTCGCCATCTAGCCTACTTTCCTGCTCCAGACGAGACCCCGCCGCCCAGAGAGGGGGGCGCAGCGCCCAACGTGCACCGCGGGACGGTTTCCTCCAGCACTTAACTCCCCAGGCTTTAGGAGGCAGGGCCGCTGCAAGGAACGGTGAGGTTTCAGGGTTTCTCTTTCCTGACCGGTCTCTCCCGGCCTCCACTGTCTACAAGGAAGATCCCCGGCCCCGCGCTCTGCCCCGTTGCCAGGGCCAGGACTCACCCAGGTTATAGAGCAAAAAGAGGCTCTGGAAAGCGGCCTGGCGAGGGTGTGGCTCAGCGCTCTGCGCGTAGCAGCGCCTAAGCGACCCGAAGCCCTCCTGCACCTGGGCCTGCAGCAGCACCGGGTCCACCTGCCCGCCCGCCGCGTCGGGCCCGAGCCGTGCCACCACGGCCAGCAGCA